CACACACTGGTCTAGGGTACACACTGGTCTAGGGTACACACTGATCTTGGGGGCACACACTGGTCTCTGGGGTACACACTGGCCCGTGGAACACACAGGTCTGTGGAACATACTGGTCTGGGGTACACTCTAGTTTCTGGGTTACACACTGGTTTTTTGGAGTATTCGTTGGTTTCTTGTGAACACACATTGGTTTCTCGGGTACACGTTGCATCTTGACCAGTTTCAGCCCTGACCTAGAGCCTGGGCTTGCAATCTTTAACCGACCAATCAAGATGGTGCCATTGGTGGTGGTTTCAGAGGCAATGAAGCAACTAAGGGTAGATTTAATGCAGAAGCTGAATTGTCCTGGATTTAGTTTTTACTTGAGTGACATTAGTCCATTCGACCTAATCACTGATAGAAAAAAAAACTCAAAACAAAATCATAGTAATGTTGCAGTTATATGCGATTCCCCTGAAGCTTGTCTCTTTCCTCTTGCAGATCTTTTTGAACTATACAATAGCTGGGTCCAGCTTTCTCTTTGGAAATGATCTCATCAATGGTATTTTTGCATTTCAGGTCAGTCTTCGACTTTCTTATCAATTCTGATATGTTTTTGAGCCAGTTCAAACACAAGGCACAGTGTAAATGCTAATATTGGTGATAGGAGCAAATTTTACTGTAGATGCTGGAATCTGTACTGAAAACAACAACTGCTGGAGATCACAGCGGGTCAGGCAGATCCATGGAGAGAGAACAAGCTAAAGTTTTGAATCTAGATGACTCTTCATCAGACCTGAAGTGAAGTGTAGAGGGGACAGCATTTATGCTGTAGTTGGGGTGTTTGGGGTGTAGAGTGTTGAGGGAGAAAGGGTGTTGATAGATTAAGTGATCAGATTGTGAGAACAACAGAACAAGGTGTATCTAGCTTCCAGACTTGAAAGAACAGACAGTCCCACTAGGGTGGGGTGGAGCAGCGGGTGGGGTGAAGGGAGAGAGGACATGGTGACAGAGAATGTATCAAGTAAAGCTAAAAGAAAAGGAAGGAATGGGATTTGGTTCACAATTTGAAGGTGTTGAACTCAATATTAAGTCCAGAAAACTGTAAAGTGCCTAGTTTGAAGATGAGATGTTGCTCCTCCAGTTTGCGCTGTGATTAAACTGGGTGGGTGGGTGCTGGGTCACTCGGAGGAGATCCCCGTTTCCCATGGCCCCATTTTACAATCAGACAGTGTGACCCCGGAAAGGGGGGATGTGGGAGGGTGGGGGGAGGAACTCACCAGGCAAATGCACCAGAATTACCTTCTCATTTTTTCCCCTGCGTGGTCAGACTACCCACACCCACCCAGGATTAATATCAATAGTGGATGAGTGAGGCCCATAAGTGAAATCACAGCATGCTGAGGTCAGACATGTGGGCATGTGAGCAGGACGCGGTGTTAAAATGACTGGCTTCGGGAAGTCATGTTGCACATGGACCAAAGGTGATATTGGAAGAGTGCAATGTTTTCTGATGTGCTGATACATGTTTATGAAGCTGTCTGTGCCAGCAACAATTCCAGTTAATTGTGATTCTTTCCTGAGGTGTGGGTGTCATTAGCCAGGCCAGTGTTTGGTGTCCATCCCTAATTGCTATAAAATTGAGCGGCTTGTTGGGACATGTCAGAGGGCAGATAAGAATCAACCACATTGCAGTGGGTCTGGAGTCACATGTAGGCCAGATCAGGTAAGGACGCAGATTTCCTTTCCTAAAGGACATTAGTGAACCAGATGGGTTTTTTTAAACAGCACTTGATGACAATTTCATTTTCACTGTTACTGAGATTAGCTTTATGCCTGCAAAATAGCATAAGAGATCAGGAAGGGTATCTCAAATGCAGGAGAGAGGCTAAGGCTGCAATAAGGAAGGTTATGAGGAAAGATGGCAGGCTGAGCTAAAACAAATGGTAAAATATTCTTCAAATACATTTATTTCTCCTAAAACACAATAGTTGCGTTCTTGTGCGACCTCACGCTATAAAAAATCACACTATAGAAAATTGTCATAGAAAATCACATTATAGAAAATTCACAAGACTGTACAGTAGAAAGTTCACGTTATCCAAACAGCATTCACTATTCATCAATTGCATTAATGAAACATGCATTATGGCAGAACTACTTCTATATCAATAGTCAAAGCTTCCTGAAGGATAGACTGGAGCCCATTAGGAACAAACACGGTGAGATACTTGTTGAAGGAAAGAGTACAGCAGGGATACTAAATGAATATTAACCAAATTAGAAAACGGTGACAATGGCCCAGCTAAAAATATGGGTGTTGAAAATCAAAGACCCTGGGGGTGGGGGTCAGGAGGTGTCTTGGCCTCTCATAGCTGCTGGCCAATCAGAGGCCCTTTGAACAACAGCGCCACCTGGGAGGCAGTGGCTCCTGCCAGTACTGCACCACCTTGGACGGACAGTGAGTGTCAGGCTGGTGTTGGGGGATGGGACTGTTGTGAGTGATGGCTGGTGGGTTGGTGCTGGGTCACTTGGGGGAGATCCCCTTTTCCCACGGCCCCATTTTACAATCAGACAGTGTGACCCCGGAAAGGGGGGATGTGGGAGGGTGGGAGGAGGGACTCACCAGGCAAACGCACCAGAATTACCTTCTCATTCTCTCCCCTGCGTGGTCAGACTACCCACACCCACCCAGGATTAATATCAATAGTGGATGAGTGAGGCCCATAAGTGGGCACTAATTGGTCATCCATCGGCATTCCCACTCTGGGTCTAACCTGGGCAGAGGTGGGAGAGTCACACGTTCTCAGTGCTCCCCCCCATTTCCTGATTAAATGCCCCCCATCCACCAACAGCAAGCTCACTACAGTGGGAGGCAACAGGCAAGTGGCATTAGATATAACACAGTGTGGAGCTGGAGGAACACAGCAGGCCAGGCAGCATCAGAGGAGCAGGAAAGTTGACGTTT